AGAGAATATCAAATGCAAGGCAAACGAACAAGCTTTAAGATGATACCAATAACTCTATATACCCAAGAATTGATGAGCGCCTGATTCCACCGCGTCGTGACAGTTAAACATAATACGTCCGATCAGTAACAACAGACTAAAGGTGGGAGGTTGGCGGGTGCTCTGGTTTGGTTTGCTTCATCTTTCCTGTCAAACATCTCTCGTCCTTATCTCCTCTCATTCTTTTTTATGTTTGTTACTCTCTTGTAACACCTCTAATCTTGTGGCGCTCATATGACCTTATGGAGTTGCGAACGCCGTAAAAACCTGTACTTAAACTGAAACAGACTAAAGACAATGTTGCTGCGCTTTTTCGTCCGTTATACACAAATCAGAAACACGAATGTCCACATTTTAGCGTATGAGTATTGTAGCCTATCTTTCAAGTCTCAAATACGGACGGTAAAATAAGATGAAAAATCGGTATAAATATCAAAGTTGATTTTTGTTGTTGTTTTGTTGTTATTGTTTGTTTGTTGGGGGGGGGTTGTTGTTGGGGGGGGGGTTGTATATTCCCCAAAACAAACATTCTTCAAGCGTTGCCGATTAACCACAAGGTGCACACACAATGGGTTAATCTACAAATAGTGCACAAGGCGCACACACAATGTCGTGTTAATCTACAGATAGACACACAATGTCGTGTTAATCTACAGATAGTGCGCAAGGCGCAGACACAATGTCGTGTTAATCTACAGATAGTGCACAAGGCCCACATACAATGTCGTGTTAATCCACAGATCTTGTACAAAGCTCACACAAAATGAGTTAATCCACAGATCTTGTACAAGGCTCACACACAATGAATTAATCCACAGATCTTGTACAAAGCTCACACACAATGAATTAATCCACAGATCTTGTACAAAGCTCACACACAATGAGTTAATCCACAGATCTTGTACAAAGCTCACACAAAATGAGTTAATCCACAGATCTTGTACAAGGCTCACACACAATGAATTAATCCACAGATCTTGTACAAGGCTCACACAAAATGAATTAATCCACAGATCTTGTACAAGGTTCCATAGGCCAGACTCCGACGATGCACACATCAAATTAGTGATCTCAGACGGCTTGCAGTTCTTGCCTTTGATGCTGTTGCTGTTGTTGTCGTTGTTTTTGTTGTT